TGAGCGTTGTATTGTTTATTGCCCTTCATCGCTATAATCCCTACCCTAAACCCCAAACCCTAAATTGGCCCCATCTACCCGAATCTTGACTAGAGTTTTGAAAAACTAGGCGTACCATGTTTGGGAGTGCCAAGAATCAGGATATAGTATGGGGGGGGATGTGTGGGAACACTTATTTTGGGGAAGCAACCAATGCTAAAGATTAGGGCTTAGGGAGTCGGATTTAGGCTTTTGGGGCTCAGGGTTTACTCATCAATAGAAGCGCAGTAGGAAAACCGATGGACCCTAATAGGAAAGGGCGTGCCGAAAGAGTTCTGGGGTCAGATGCCCTTTCGGATGTCAAAGCAGGACCCCGTATTACATTCCCAACCATATGCAGCCAGTTGGAGGTTGGGCTTCCAGCTCTCTGTTACCAGCAGCCTGTAAGAGAGCCAACTCCCCAATCCCTAAACCCTAAACAAGTGCCGGACTGGCAGGTTCATCAATCTGATTGCTTCCTTTCCGTCTAAGCCAACTCCCCGGGCTGAGAGCTCTTGGAATGGGAGTTGGTGGAGTAATCACCTGTCCTCCGCAATGAACCTTCCATACAGACTTAAATGTTTCTCGTTTTGTCTATATACAGATACAGGTGGGAATACTTATTTTGAGCCGGGCGGGTCGGGAGGTATTTCTGAGGAGCATGGTATTACTTCTCCCTGGAGAGCTTTTAACGGCTTCAAGGCTAGTTCAGGACAGCCGTGAACGCAGTAGCAGAAGCCATGCACGCAGTCGGTGCAGCTCGCCCCTCGGCCGAGCAAATTTCTACGGGGGCTATATTCTACTGTAGACGGCCACAAGATGAAAACTATTCTGATGTGAAAACGAGCTAGATGGGCGTCCATGTCTGTTTTGGGGGTGTCTCCTTGGATGTTGTTATGTTGAGGGGCTTTGCCTCATGATTGTGTACAGCTGTTTTTCTGAATGCCAGCAACGGCAGAGATCGAGAGTGTTTTAGGACGCTCCCAGAATGCAGCTTATGGTCATGTACTCATGGACTTCTGTGGGTTTAGTTAGGTTTTAGGGAACAATCTTTGGGGTTTGTCTAGCCGTTGGATCTCCGGACGCTACAATGTCCAACAAGCCCTTGCCAAGACCCTCTCACTTCCCTTGATCGGGATTGCAGGGTCCCTGATCGAGCGTTCATAGGTCTGAAAAGAGGGAGGATCTCCTGTTCCAAGGGTTCAGCGTCGAGGGTTGAGCCTAAATCTTCACGACAGACTTGGAATCACAAGCTTGAATCCCAAACTCCTTTTCAGTTGGCCTTTGGCATGTTGAGATACCCTCCCTCATCAAATACAAAAGCAAGCACCCGAATGGAATCTACCCAGCCTCAATCCGCCATCATTTTTCGCGCTTAGCCCTACATCCGTGATCAGCAGCCTTGCATGACCCTCGCCCCGTAGCCCTGCCTTGCGCAGCATGATTTTTCAAGCCAACTACACTGGGCTGAGGGCAACGTTCAATTTGCAGTCCGGCTTAGGGCCTATATGCCCTGAACCCTTAATCCCTAAAGCCTAAACCTTTTGTTCAAGGTTTGGTTCAGGGCTTCAGGCTCCAGGCACCCAATGCCTGGCTGTATGTGTCTAGTGGGCAATCTTTACCTGTTCGGGTACTATTTACAGGTTTGGATTTCTGCGCAGCCCATTTTTAAACCAAAAAGGGCTTCACCTTGAAAATACCCCAGGCCACACAACGACAAAATCAGAAACGGAGTAAGCGCTAAGCCGCCAACCGTGCAAGCCCTAAACATGCTTCCTAGTCAAGAGGTCCTAAGCCAAAACCTAAATCCTATAGTTCCATAATGATCAAAGAGATAATAATCTTACAAGCTAGGACAACAAAGTAACAACAAGAATGAACAACATCAGAATAGACATGCTAAAGCTAGCAAAAATACCCTAAAGCGTCATTCCAAAAACCTGGAAGAACAAGCCCTAATCCCCAACCCCTAAATCCTAAACCTTGAACCCTAAAGCCTTCACCTTCAAGCAAAAATGCCCGAAGCCCGAAAGCCCAAAACTTAAGCCCTAAATCCTAGGTCCTAAGCCTAAACCTAAATCCTATAAACCCTAGAGCAAGCTTTCGAGGCTCATGCTGGAGGCAGGCCTCTCGCCTGATCCCGGCAAGCCGCGGCATCACTGTGGAAGCCATGCGCCTCAACACCCCTCTGAAGGAGACATGCTGATAGTATATAGGTTTTAGGGTTTAGGGTTCAGGTTTGAGGGATTAGGTTTTAGAGTTTAGGGTTCAGGTTTTAGGGCTTAGGTTTTAGGGTTTAGGGTTTAGGGTTGGGACTGCTATCGTGTTCAAGGTGTAGGGCTTAGGGTACTGGAGTGAATATAGGGACATTTCTAACTAGGGGTATAGATGGGGATTATATATTAAGGCGGGTCAGTTTATACTCATTACAGGGCGAAAATCCCCAGCAATCAAAGAGCACCTCCTCTTTGTGAGATTCCTTATTTCCTGCTCTTTGATTCTTTCGGTTTTCAAAGGGTGCGAATCTGGTATTAGGGTGCAGGGTTAAAGGGTCAATCATGGGGCAGAGGGCTTCGGTTTTAGGGTCTTGGGCTTAGGCCTTTAAAGGCTGGTTGAGTGTTTGGGTGCAGGTTTTCTCGGCTTAGGTTGTAGTACGGAGGGCTTGGCGAGTGCTTAGAGTGTAGGGCAGGGGGGAAGGAGTCGAGGCCTTCTGGATCATAGGGTTTAGGTCTTAGGGTTTAGGTTCGTATAGGGAAAAAGGAAGTATATTGTATAGGGATTACATAGGGATTAGTTTTTAGGTTTGGGGAGAGGCCAGTTCCAGTGTTATACATGGCTTCGGATGTTGAGGTTGAATGCGGGAGCGATTTGCCTGCCTGTTCGTCTTCAGCCTTTGTTTAAGTTTCAGACTTCGCCGCAGTCCATTGCCCACTAGATTTAGGGTTTATCGGGTTTAGAATTTAGGGCTTGGGGTTTAGGGTTTAGGGCCATAGTGTTGCTGATGATCATGCTAACTCTTGCCACTCGGACGTTCTCATCATGCCCTTGTACCAATTACTTTCCATCCTTGTTAGCGTCAAGTCTACCGTTAGCCCGTTAACAAGCACTCTTCCTTTCATGCAGGGCTTGCCCTGTCCTTGATGAAGGTATGTCACGAGACAATTCCTGTAGATTCTGCAGAGAAGAACCCTCCAAATCCTTCTGTCCTTACATGATAGCTTCCAAACAGAGGGGACTCCATTACAGACCCCAATCCATTGTAATCTTTATCATGAAAACCCTTGTTGTGGGAGCCCCCCCCCCCAACATAAAAGTGTCCCCACGGCCTCTTCATTTTCAGAACCTTCCATGAGGAGATTGACCCAGAAGTTCACGGCATCATCGAGGCCGAAAAGGACCGGCAAAGAAGGTGCGTCAACCTGATTGCATCGGAGAATCAAGGCCAAGAAGATTATGTGAGCCATAGTCTAAACTTTCTTAAAGGGGGTATGACAAGGGGAATATAAAGGGGAGTAATTAGTAGAAATGTTACTAAGGGGGATGCTAGGAGTTTGGACAATGGCTCACGTAGGATTTAATGGCGTAGAGTTTAAGGTTTGGGGGGCGGGCCCGGGGGGGGGATTTTAGGATTAGCTGCTTAGGGGGTTACGGTATCGGGGTTCAGGGTTTAGGGGGTGAAGGTATACGGGTCAGGGATTTCGGGTTCATTACTTTGCTTTGTGTTGGTTTGAGTTCAGGGTTGCTTTTTGGTTTATATGTGAGGTATAGAGTTGTTCACAGCTCAATCCCCAGACAGGAGAAAAGGCACGACATACATATGGCTCATATGGGTTGCTCCAAAACTCTTATTTGTTTTTTTTTGGCTCCAAAACTCTTATTTGTTTTGTTTTTTTGGCGTAGCGAGCTTTCAACACAGGGTTTCAGGATTGTTGTCCCGGCGTGGCGAACGGTCAGCGAAAGGTCTTGAAATATGGTTTCTCCTTGGATTGCCGAGATTGGAGCATGTTTCCCCGAAAAGAGAGCTTCACCATGCGCGCGAAAGACCACGAAAGCTCCGCTATCGCCGCGGTTGATGGGTTTTCGAGAAGAAGGAATTTAGAGCAGCCCCCATATATGCAGATATATGTATACATATATATATATATATACATACACACACATGTCAAGATCATGGTCCTTTTGCGGGCTTTCATCATAATAAGACCCTTAATATATGTGGTATATATACATTACCCCAAAAAGGGACCGCAATTTCCTTCCTCTATGTATATATGTCACAAACCCCAAATCCCAAACCCCTAAACCCTACACCCTGTTCTTCAACCCTAAACCCTGAACCCTAAATCCTACACCCCAAACCCTAAACCCCAAACCCTAGACCCCAAACCTCTAAACCTTAAACTGTGACTCAGGAATTTTGCTCCGCTTCCAGTCCTGGAAGCTGTTGGCTCAGTGATGGTCAACAAGTACTCCGAGGGCTACCCTGGAGCAAGGCACCTCCTGGGCTCAGGGTTTGAGGGTTTTGGGGTTTTGGGGTTTGGGGTTTAGGGGGGTTGGGGTTTAGGGGGTTTGGGGTTTAGGGGGTTTGGGGTGTAGGGGGTTTGGGAGTTACGGGGTTGGGGGGACTAGGGTTGGGTTTAGCGTTGAAGGTGTAGGCGTCCTGGATTTGAGGGTTTGAGGTAATTAAGGTTAGACGGGGTAGGATAGGGAGGGGGAGCCCGGGATTCAGGGTTCTCAGATCACAACAAAATACGCAACTCAGGGTTTGGGTTTCTGGTTTAGCCTTGGCCCCTTTACTACATTGAAAGCAACAATCCAGGCATCTGCTATGTCAGATAGTCGGGCTTCCGCTGTGTCAGACGGCTTCTGAAACCTAGCCTCTTGACATACTAGTGTCCTTAGCAACGGGACCTCCAAAAAGGGATGTGAATTGATGCATCCTCGTATTGGTTTAGCAGCTTACTTCATTTCGGTCCTTGTAGATGCTTGATAGAACATTAACTTTTGAAAAAGCTCCCAATTCGTAACGCAGCTTCGTATGACCTCACAAGAAGCTTCATGTTTTCTTCTTTTTCTGCTCATGTGCCAGATTTCAGGCAAGAGGGCGCGGGTCCTGATAGAGTGACTCTTTCTGCCTCTATCTCCAGCTCTCTCTATCTCTCTCTCTCTCTCCCCCTTCCTTTTTCTGTGCCTGTTTGCACATGTATTTGTCTGCCGAGTTGTGTGTTCGTCTGTTCTCGATTCTCTGTTTGCCTCTGCCTCTGCCTTAGGTACTACGGCGGCAACGAGTTTATCGACAAAGCAGAGAGACTCTGCCAGCAACGGGCCTTGCAAAGCTTCAGGCTCGATCCCAAAGAGTGGGGCTTCTTGGCACATGAGCTCCGGTGTACAAGGGGTCTATAGGCGTTTTTGAGGGATGTGTAGAGTTTCACCAAACTTGGGCCCCAGTTGGGAGCCCTAAAGGACAAATGTAGAGCAAGTTCATTAAAAGATTACCCGCATGAGGACTTATGCAGAGAGGGAGAGAGAGTAAGAGCAAGGGAATGAAGTGTCACCACCCAGTGGAGCAAGGAAGAGACTTGTTGCAACGCTCGGCTAATGGCAACTTCAAAGTCAGAGATGGGGTTTCGTGTAACTGTAATCGTTGTTGAACCTGAAGGGGCGGCATTTCTTCCAATCCTCCATGATCCTCCTGAGAACTGACTGTGACACTAGACATTGTGCAGCGCTAGGGGGTCCGCCCCCGTATGGCTTCAGGGTCCTGCACAGCCCCGAGCAGAAGCAGAAGAAGAAGAGGGTAAGGAAGCGAGGCAGAATGGCCGCACATGTTGCACAGTGATGTGAAATGATACGAAAAGGGGGTTTTCAAAGCAGGTGCCTGGATTCCTGGCCATCTGTATACAAGGGACGGCCAGTCCAAGACAGAAAAAACACTCTTTGTCTCTTGTTTGCTCATTGCTCAGCAACTCAGGTGTGAACGTCCAGTCGCTCAGTGGCTCCCCTGCCAACTTTCAGGTCTTCACAGCTCTTTGCGATGTGCACGATCGCATCATGGGCCTGGACTTGCCGCATGGTGGTCACCTGTCCCACGGCTATCAGACAGACACCAAGAAGATTTCCATGGTGTCAAAGTATTTCGAGTCCATCCCGTACCGCCTGAACGAAGAGACCGGCGTCATTGACTACGATGAGTGCGAAAAGTTTGCTTTGCGCATCCGCCCAAAGATCCTTATCGCAGGCACCAGTGCCTACTCGAGGCTGATTGACTATGGCCGCATGCGCCAGATGCTTGTTGGCTAGTAGCCCCTCCCTAATCCCAATGATAGTTTGGTAGTTCCCAAATGTTCTGTTCAATTCCTTCAGTCCGTGCGAGCAGCCAGTCAGGATTGCAGACAAGTGTGGAGCGTACCTCTTGGCCGACATGGCCCACATCTCTGGCCTTGTGGCGGGGGCTGCCATCCCATCGCCGTTTGAGTATGCGGATGTTGTCACCACCACAACACACAAGTCTCTGCGCGGACCTCGTGGAGCTATGATCTTCTACCGCAAGGGCCAGCGTGGTGTGGACAAGAAAGGCAACCCCATCATGTACGACTTAGAGGATCGTAGCCAGGTCGCTGTTAGAATGCGTTTGGCATTTTTTTCATGCTCGAACGCCACACGTGTCATGGTAGCTTGGGGAAAGCTGCACCTAAACATAAGCTGATTTTCACATAGTCCAGAAGCCTACTTGCATAGTCCCAGTCTCTCTGTGTACCGTAAAAATGTTACGATCATTACAAGTGACATGGGGGGATCCACGTGTTCGGAGAAGCATGTGGTTCCTGTAGTGCCAAACTGCAGCCTCAGGCAGATTCCGCTGTCTATAATCTGTAATGGGCGGAGTCCCCTTGTGAGGAACCCTAAGCATTAGGGGCCGTAGCATAGTAGGGACCCAAGAAGGCAGCGTGGCAGCCTAATTTCTGACAACCTACCATATAGCGCTCATTTGCCCCGTATATAACATCCAGCATAGCTCCCGCCCTTTACTTGCTTGGAGGTTCAGGCTAATTAGAACCTAGTCATGGGTGCGCTTGAATCGAGTTGTAATCCTCCTAAGTCGTCTAACACGTACCAGTCATGTATGGCTTACCTTTACTTTGAAGTGCCGTCCAAGGTATCAATGCAGCGGTCTTTCCTGGTCTTCAGGGTGGTCCTCACAACCAGCGCCTTCACGTGCACTACAGTCTTAAACTCCTTAAAAATGGTATATTGGGGATTGTATAGGGGAGTACTATAGGGGCTCCTAAAGGGAAGCCTAGGACTTGAGACTATAGCTCATGTACAGTTGGAGGGCTTTCGGCTTTCCAGGTCACGCGTGGTATTGGTTCCGCATTCGCTGCCTCCCCTCTATGTACCATGGGAAGGGAAGAATGGAGAACCAACTGGAAAAGAGAATAGAAAATAAGATGGAAACTGGGTCATCTCAAAGCTGACATTCACCGTCCAAAGCCCCTTCAGCATCACTCAGGAGCATCACGTCACTGGCTGTGGCACTGAAGCAGGCTGCGGAGCCCGAATTCCAGACCTACATCCAGCAAGTCATGAAGAACTCCAAGGCTTCTCAGAGCAAACCACTAATTCGGTTTAGGGTTTATATAGGGGCTGGGGACCCCTATCCCTAAACCATAAATTGTGTGGCTAACAACAGAATAGTCTGAGTTTGCTGTTCCGTCCGGAAGCAAACGTCTCCCCCAGTGTTCAGCGCTCCCTCACGTAATAGTCAGTTTCTCTTGTAAAAGCCGGAGACAGCAGCCAGCGCTTAATGGTAGGGGCATGGGATCAACCCCATACAGTCAGAATAACGGCTGGCTGCTACGGAACTTAATGTAAGGTAGCAGTATAACAAGGGAATCATGCTTACGATATATTATGATATACCCATATACTGTGACTTACTTTAGATTCCTTAACAGCTACCTAGGTTTCATATTAGGGTAAAGGCACACCCGGCCCTAAACCCAAGCAACGCGATTGTGAAAGGAGGGTTTTGGAAACCTCAACCCCCAGCTTAGGACCCTATACTTACCACATGGCTGCAATGGGAGTTTAAGTTTGATGACTGGGGTTACCAAATCCTCTCATTTAACCCTAAACCCTAAACTAAGCCTAGAGAGCAAGAATAGAGAGGCTCTGGGTGAATCCCTCCAGCGCTGCAACTTCAACTTGGTCTCTGGTGGCACGGACACTTGGGGCAGGTTATGGGGTCCTTTGACAGTAAAGGGGTGGTTGGGGGTTTAGGGTTTGGGACTCTTCAGCGGTTTAGTTCAGGGTTTGGAGTGTAGAGGCTTGGGAGGTTGGGGTGCAGGGGTTTAGGATGCCTTTGCAAAAAAGGTTTGGGGGCTCGGGGTTTGGGGGTTGTATGGATACGTCAAGATGAGATTATGAGGTCACAGCCATAGGTTGAGAAACTGCAACATACTTGTGACCAATTGCCATGTACTTTCTTGAGTTTATCTTCAAAAGCGAAATAGAACCCGTTGCATCCTCTTGCAAGCCTCAGAAAGTCCACCCTTGGAAGCTCCCCCGTTTCCAATCCTTGCAGTTTTCTCCAGACTGTAGTACCAGTAGGGCGGTCAGTATGCGGCTTTTCAGTTTTGGTTTTCTGTATTGCCATACTTCTCCCAGACCCTCGGATACGAGAATAGAGGGCCTTAAAGCAAGCGCTTTACTAAGTAAGGGCTTACTGCGGGCTTCCATCTTTCGGGTCCAACAGGGAGGTCTAAAATGTTATTAAGCCTTAAGCCTTAAGTTCCAACTCATAGACGGGAGGGGCAACTCCCTACTAAGTAAACTGATCTTTCCACTACGAAATAGTGGGGAAGCGTCCGTTACTAAATAATGTGGTGGTTTAGGGTTTAGGGTTTAGGGTTTAGGGTGGTGGCTACCAGTGCTGAAGAATATGGTCCTTTCAGTATACTCTTCCATTTTCCATTCTCAACTAAAGCGATTGGCTTACTCGGGCAATCATGCCGTAGTGCACTGCACCAGGCACTATTCCCGTAAACAATATGGATCCCATTCGTATGGTTTCACTTTCACCTGATGATATCCCCCTAAGGTGCTAACCCGTACAAACCAGAAATATACAGTCCATGCTTCCATTTAAAGTATAGAAGTGTATATGAAGAATTGCTAGCTTGGGCCGTAAAGTTAGTGAATGTCACGCATTTCGCGCTATTTGGACAACCGGGATATGTTCCGGACGAACTACATCTTAGCCAAAACCTTCCCCAATAAACCCCGCACCCCAAGCCCTAAACCCAATAATCCTCTGCCTTAAACCCCATAATAACCCTAAATCCTAAACCCCAAACCTTAAGCCCTAACTCTAAGCCCTAAAACCCCAATCCCAAACCCTAAACCCTAAATCCTATATAACCCTAAACCCCCCCCAACCCTAAAACCCTACAACCCCAAACCCTACACCCCCGGCCCTATAACCCTATAACCCTAAATCCTAAACCCTAAGCCCCCAACCCTAAAGCCCTAAAACCCTATAACCCTATAACCCATTTAGGACAATCACCTGGTGCTCATCGACCTCCGGTCCAAGGGTGTCAACGGCTCCAAGGCAGAGGCTGTTTGCGAGATGGCCTCCATCGTCTTGAACAAGAGCCTGGGTTGGGTTTAGGACTTAGGGTTTAGGGTCTAGGATTTCGGGTTTAGGATTTAGGGTCAAGGGTTTAGGTTCTAAGTTTTAGGGTTTAGGGTTTAGGGTCTAAGTTTTAGGGTTTAGGATCCAGGGTTTTGGGTTTAGAATCTAAGTTTAAGTTCAAGGGTTTAGGGTCTAGGTTTTAGGACTTAGGATTTAGGGTCTAGGAGGGTCCAGGATCTTTAGGGTCTAGAGTCTAGAGAGCCTCAGGTCGAAGACATGGCTTGCCTTGGAATCCAACCAGCCAAGTATTATTCAAAAATCAGACGCCCACTGTTTGAACCCTTACAAGCCCATCAACGCAAAAGTACAACATTCCAAACGCAAACTAACACCTCAACCCACCCGAACACCCTGAAGCCGGGAACCCTCAACCCCCCAAAAGGCCCAAGGCTTTTTTCAAAACACCCTAGACCAATCATTGCATTTGGAATCTAAAAGACTGGCCGATAGAGTGGTTTAGGGTTTAAGGTTCGAGTATTGGGGGTGTGCCTTGGCAATAGGAGTTTCGGCTTTACAGTCAGGGCTTAGAGTCTGCAAAAGGGGTTGGGCTTGTCTTAAACCAGAGTAGAGACAGCAAGCATATACTGTGCTTCTACATGGCGTTCTTGTAAGGGGCTCTTTTGCGGGGTTCTAGAGTTTGCGAGAAGACCAATAGTTTAGGGCTTGGGGCTTGGGTTCAAACGCAATCGCCAGAAGCTGGGCCATATACAGGCCTGGCATTGTATAGATGCTGTATGCGGTTAGATCAACTAGCAAAAGGCAGATGCCAGGGATCGTGCTCAGGCCCAAAGAAAAGAATGGCTGTCGAATGAGGATCCATTTGCCTTATGTTTTTTGGTCAGTCCTCTGCATCCTGCCTAATCCCCCAAACCTTATGAATCGTAAGCTCTGGATCCTAAACTCAGCTCTAAGCCCTAAAACCTAAAACCCTAAACCGCTAAACCCTAAACCGCTAAACCCTAAACCTGCAGAGTGGCCTAGGAACACGATCCCTGGGGACAAGAGCGCCATGAATCCTAATGGCTTGCGCGTTGGTGCGCCGGCTATGACCTCGAGAGGACTCCCAAGATCAACGCCCAAGATGATGAATCTACCAGAATACGGATTCATGAGGATATTACCCCAATGATGGAGAATCAAATGGAAGAGGAAATGGCACATGAAATGGAAACCGCTATATTGTTAACTGGGTCCTGATTTCAGCACTTGGGTTGCTCAACAGTCCCTTCGAGACATTGGACCCAGGAAAATGATCTGCTGAACGCTTTGTTGGCCGTTAGTTTTTCAAGAGACCAAAAGACATGCTTGAAGGACTAATGGAGGATGACTTCGTGAAGATTGGCGAGTTCATCGGTGGGGCCGTGGATGTGGCAGCTGAAGTGCAGAGACTTTGCTAGCCCAGCTGACAAACAGTAAGCATACTTTCTGACATATGCATATTTCGATGTCGCCAGAAACGATTCCCCTTGCATAGCCCCACTAATGTAATAGTTTTGAAAGGAACCCCCAAAAAGATCGCTATTTGTTGGACATCCCCGTACATGTGGGGTTCTAAGGTGTTGGTGGGAATGAGATGTGTCAGTTCGGGCTGCATTTGAATTCTGGCATTGCTCCGCAACGGATTTAACAGTCTCCGCTCAAAAAAAGCTTGTAAGCAACAACGATAGCCCAGGGCGTTTAGGGTCGTCATGGGGTTCCATGTATACTTGGGGGGGAATAGAACCAAAGAGGCGACATTTCTGAAGCTAGAAGCGGATTGAATGCCCAAGAGGCTCCTTAAACATTTTGCTCAGGACTGCATGCATAAACCCTAAACCCTAAAACCGTAGAGCCTGCAAACTAACCTACTTGTCTAGCGGGGCAAACCCCAGCTTGGACAATCTAACACCCAACCCTAAGACCCTAAGGGTCCATGTGCCCAATAATTGGGTACCTGGGGCTTTGGGAATAGTAATTCTAGTGTAGGTTTGGGGTAAGTATATGATTCTTGAGTACTTAGAATCTTGGGGCAATCATAAACCAAACAAGTTAACCACTTGGACTGTCCTTAGATACTGGATGCCTAGGCTAAACCTCAAACCCCCAAGGATCCAACTTGCCCGAAGTAGGAATTGTTTAGAATTCAAAAAAAGGAAAAGCTTTCGACCACACGACAGGAGCTACCATTCAGGGCCCTCAAATAAGCTTCATGAAACGCCGTTTGCATAGATCGCCCTTCCGAAGCCTCCTTGCTGTACTGAGCCCTGCCTGGACCCCAAAAGTAGGTAAAATAATTGCCCAGACCCCCTAGAAAATAGCCCCAAAGGCTATTATTCTGCATACTCTGGGGTTCAGGTAGTTAAACCACTAAACCCTAAACCCTGAACCATTCCTAGGAAGCAGAGCGGCCCGAAGCTTGTGGACTTCAAGCGAGTGCTCGCGGAGAGTCCGCCCGGAAAGCTCTTGGAGCTGAAGGGTCAGGCGAGACCAGGGACTCTTAGTGCCCCAGAATATGCGGTATATGGGGATCTTATTGCATACCCAAATCTACTTAAGGGGGACTATAGATTCAGGAATTGTAAGTCGCGAGGCACTCTAGGTCTTAGGGTTAGTTCAGGGGTTAGGGTTAGGCACGGGGTGATTCAGGGTTTACGAAGCCGAGATCAGGGTTCAGGAGTGCGCTACCCCAAACTGTGCCATACTCGCATGGAACCCCATGTAATGCCTCACCGGTTGTGTCATGGGTCTCTCATAGCCTGATACAAGTGGGCCACCAGAGAAAACCTTTCCAAGCCCTTAAACCTTAGGTGGACACACCCTGTAATAGCGAGTATATACACGATGTTAAGGATTATATTAGGCTCTCATTCGATTCCTGTTATACCACTATTACGGGGTGTGGCGTCCTCCTAACTTAGAACAAACCAGACAGCTGTAAAGGCCCCTTTTGCTCTTCCTGAATCAGGTGGAGGACTTCGCCAGTGCCTTTCCCACGGTGGGCTTCTAATCCCTTGTGAGCATCTTGAGCCCAGTCAGAAGCCAAAACTGGCAGTTAGACTTTTCATGGGTCCCCCACACCTCCCCAATGAGACTCCCACGATTTTTGTTACTATTATTGTTTTAGTATAGACGACGGAGTCCAAAGAGTGTTACCTTGGACCTTCTGGGGCGGTACCTGAGCTGGATCCATGTCTCCCGTGCACTTGGCAGGGAAAGAGGGATGGATTGCAGGTATTGAGGCTTAAGGATTTAGGCATGCCAGGAAGACTTATTTGTTCAGAGTTTAGATCAAGGACAACAGAAGAACCTTGGCACAAGCCTTTTGAGGATGATATTCCTACTTTTCTGGCTGTAGGTGAGATATCATTTCTGCCCTGATTATTGTGGGTCACGAGCAAAGGGGAGCATGCCTCCATTCCCTGTTGAGTAGCAAGTAGTCGTCCCTCCTCACTCGTAGGTGAGCAGCCATGTGTGGACTCGAGGTAGGACAAACGCACAGGCCTTAACCACAGCAAACCCAAATTTTAATGGGTGCAGGATAGGTTAAAGCCTGTAGCCCCTCATAGTGTTGATTGCGCTACCGGCATTTCGTTATGCGCCTACCTAGTTCGGACCCGTGCCAGAGATGTACTCAGCGTGCCGGAAGCCGAGAAAAGGCGCTTGCTTGAGCTCAAGGACTCCTGGGCACCATACAAGGGGAGGCCACACTTACGATCCCCAATAATCCCTTCCCCCTAATGTGAAACACCCTCCCCCCATTTCATATTAGGGTGAGGTTCAAAAAGGGGGAAGCGATTATAGGAGTTTCTCCAAACAGGGGTACTGTAGGAATTCAGGGAGTGATGGAGTCTAGAGACACTGGGACTCGGAAGATTATAGAGGCCCTTCCGGGGAGGTACCGTGTCAATTTGGAGAAGCCCCTATATCGTGTCCCTGTACATGTACTCCCCTTGGAGTTTCCTTGATGAGCTGCGCAGCGCACCGTTCTCAACACTATGTTAAGGGGCGTGGTTTAACGGTTTGAGGTTTTAGAAGGCTTTGGTTTTGGAAATCCTGGGCTACTCCCATCCCTAGGGCGGGCTCCGAAGTGTAGAAGCACTACGTACATTTGACTCTTCGGAGCCTTAGGGTATGCATGGTATTCAGGGCGCACAGAGGGAACGGAGCGGTCTCTTTGAAATCTGCCATTCAGCGCATTTGCGAAGAACCCTAGTTACTCAAGTCATCTGTCATCCCAAAAGTTCCCCATCAATCATGTCAGGTTTAATCAGTACCGTATGGGTTTCCATATGGACTGTTGTTCATCGAGTCTTTCCTCAGCCACGGATCTTGCATTGTGTAGCGGTTGAGGAACTACAGAACTTAACTCAAACCTGTATTTTGATTATGATGCGTACTTTATGAATGGTATGATTTCGTAAGTTTTATGCGGAACAGCAGACCCGGCACTGTAGCCGAGACCCCTCACATGTAGAGGCGGTGAAAGATCGCATCCAGGCGTGGGTAGACCGTTGCCTTCCAGGGTTGAGGGTCCAGAGTTTAGGATTGAAGGCTGCGGATTGAGAGCAGGGCTTGGGGGGAGTTTACCTTTAACCTCTGGATGTCGTCAAGTCAGTATGATGGTCATGGGTGGCATATGGGTTCATACCTTTACCGGAGCAAGCACGGCCACTAGCTGTGACGGAAGCTGGCAGTAGAGAAGGTGCAGCAGCAGTAGCAGTGTCAGCGGGAGAGCAATGGTTGTCATCGTCGTCATCGTCATCGCCGTTTGCCGTCGTGTTTATTCTCGTAGCAGTTGTTGTAGTCGAAGCAGGAGTAGAAGTAAAGTAGACGCAGAATAGCAGCAGCAACAGGGCCTCTAGAAGAAAACAAAGAAGAAGATGCAATAGCAATAGCAGCAGCAGGAGGAGTAGGAGTAGGAGTAGTAGTAGCAGCACCAGTAGCAGTGGTAGTAGCAGTAGCAATGGCAGCAGCGGTAGCAGCAGCAGTAGCAGCAGCAGTAGCAGCAGTAGCAGCAGTAGTAGTAGTAGTAGTAGTAGCTGTAGTAGCAGTAATAGCAGTAGCAGCAGTAGCAGCAGTAGTGGTATCAGAAGTACAAGTACATTATTAAAAAGAAGTAGGGTTCAGCAGCAAGGTCAAGAGTATTATAGTTCGCAGCAGCGGCAACGACGTAATCTAAATCAGGAAAGACAACGACAAGAGTACTACCGCGCTTCACAGCCTGGGATTTGGGAACTTTGCGGTGCTTGCGGTTCGAAGCATGTAAAATGTAAACCCAAAGAAAGCCCTGCATGTTTGAACCCTAAATCCTTAGCTCCATGTAGGTTTGTCAAACACGTTCTGGGGTCTCTTGCTATCACGGCACCTTATGTTGTGGGGGAGGGGTACCTAAAAAATCGCAAGAAAGAACGGAAACCCTAGACTCGGGATCCTGGACCCTAGGTCCTCAACCCTATATATCCCTAGACACCTTCATACAAGCCGTTCAAGGATACCCTTGTATATCGTATATCCTACCAAAGACCCCGAACACTAAGTCCTTAACCCTAAGCCCTATGTCCTAAACCTTAAAACCTAAACCCTAAATCCTAAATGCTGACTTAACAGAAACCCTTAAAAAGAATGTAGGCCAGTCGAGAGCGAGCTTTGGAATTTTGGCCGCATGGGATGCTTTGTGAACTGTTCTGGAGGTTTGAGGGTTTAAGGGTTTAGGGTTTAGCAGTTAGGGCTTAGAATTTAGAAGTAAGGGTGTATGGTTTGGGTTTCAAGGTTTCGGTTTAGGTTTAGCGATTGTATAGGGTTTGGTTACGGCTTAGGATGCTGATGCATGATAGGTACGCTTCCAAACAAGAAGCGGATAGTCTTCAACAGCCACGCGACGGTTTAGTGGAACCCTAAACCCAAAACCCCTTAGGGTTTAGGCTACTCTTTGGTGTTTCCAAATATCGAGTGCCCCCCGAAAGGGCGCTATCGTGGGTTTTTTGTGTATGCTTCCCAGGCAGACTGTCAAGGTATACCAAGCGTACCTGTCGAGAAGTTAAAATTCCGATTTAATTGTACCCTCAACCCAGTTATAAGCCCCTTAGGCCTGAAGTCCCAAATATGAAGATAACTGTAGTATGGGTACTGCCCCCCCTCAGTAACAGTTGGATAATAATTATAACATGGCTATTACTAGGACCCATAATATAGACTGTTACTGGGGGCGGCAGTACCCAAACTGTAGTTACATTCAGATTGTCATGTCCCTGAGCCTCCAAGCTGCCTTAGGTTTCCATGAAGCGAAACCTGCAAAGGCAGAGATCTTCCTGGGCTTACTCAAGCCGCCCACCAACCCAGCAATCACAATCAATCTTCCCTTGACATAGATGCTATAGTCTAAAATCCTTGAAAGGGGGTTATATAGGGGATTATATAGGGGAGTATTTGAGAGCATATTACTTACGGGTTTTACTAGGAGTTTAGACTATAGCTCGGATAGCGGTACATCATATTTGGGCGTTTCAGCAGGTTTGGTGACAGTCATGTGGCAATCCTCCTCATGCATCTGCTTGCCAAACATGAGCCCAACTCTGTTGGCAGGCCAAATCGTACGGACGAGCTTACTAGCCTAAAGGGAGCCTGTCTTTGAAGTTGCCTTGCTGTAGTGACAGCACCCTGAAACCCCAACCGGTATGAAGACTGTTTGGAGGTATCCATCTAGGACCCATCCCTAAACCCTAAACCCCTCAACCCTAAAATGAAACCCAGCGCTCATCTAAGCCCCAAACCTTTCCTGCTCTGGTATCCTTAGACCCCAAGACCCTAAGTATCAATCCCCTCCCCCTAATATTAACCTCCCCCCCCAGTATTAAATACTCCCAAGATATTCTAATACACCACATAAACTGGGAGTATCTAATATTGAGGGGGGTGGGGGGGGTTTAGTATTAGGGGCAGGGCATTAAGCCCCAAACTCTAAAGCCTGAGGCTAAGAAGAGGCAGCTGCAGCAGTTGGTGACTTGCCCTGAGCTGTCCGGAGGAAGTAGTAGCTTTTGCTTTGGGCTTTCAGCTTCGGATTTAGGATCCCAGGGCTTGCAACAGTCATCCTGAAGCAAAAAGGAGTGGAGCCTAGATATCGGATCTGTTGGGACTTTGTCGTTACCTATCTTCCCTTTGAAGAGGATTACAACCGGAACGTGTTCTGGACATTCTGCACAGCAGATGTGCTGCTAGCCCGTGTAAAAAAAGTTTTGCGGACACGAGTTTCATGTGGCCACGCACACACAAACACACAAGAGATGTTTGAGCCCTTCTGTAGGTATTGCGGCAGGCATCCACTCGCTCACTCTCCCTTCCAGCACTGGTAGGTAAGCCCCGCAGTCTGATTGGATGGGATGTTAGTAGGGAAAGGAGCGATAGATCGTTAGAGTAGCCTATAAGATCTCCAGTAATATGGTAGTTTACCATAATTGGGGGGTACCTTTTTGGGGGGTCCCAATAATAAGGATAATCGTATTTTGGGGTCTATATTCAAGGTCCCCTTATTTTGGGAAACTACCATATAGTAGTTTCCATTTATTTCCATGCCCTAGAAACCCTATAAACTCTCAACAGTTTCCAAAGTTTCCTTCCATTCCACCCTAGAGCCCTAAACCCCCACGTTTGGAAGGCCTAGGGCGATCGAGGATGTGACCTGAAACAGCCGGAGCTGAAGCATTCCAGGGTTTCTTTGTTTCCATAGCTGCCTAAGGCTTCTGGTGCTTAAGGAAGTGTGGGAGGGACTGTATCCCTACAATACGATTTAGGGTTTAGGGTGTAGGGCACTACAACAATTCCCATGGAGTCCCTAAACCGTCTCTACCTTCCCTCCCCGACTTCAGCGCCAGCAAGTGAAGAGAGGTAGCTATGTGGGTAGTAGTTGATATGAGCCACTGATATGGTCAGCCCTTGAAGAGGGCGCTGTACGCATGGATCTCGACATGATGCCTTCTTCTCTGGAACGTGGTGGCATTTTTCCTTTGGGGT